GAGTGAGGCCTGAGGCCTGCTGGGACGGATAGCCCGTTCGGCAAAGCCGAGACGCGCACAACTTGATTAGAGACGATGGAGAACCTGTGAGAAAATGTTGAGTTTGTTAAGGCACCGAGTGATGGCAACTTTAATCTATTTACTCGATCGTCACAGCAACGTTAACTGTACATGTGACGACTGGGGTGTACTTGGGGTGTACATCCAACTAGATCCAACTCCATCGCGAGTCTCTAATCAAGTTTTTCCGCGTCTCGGCTTTGCCGAACGGGCTATCCGTCCTAGCAGGCCTCAGGCCTCACTCTTTCTCCAAGTATCTTCTCTAGACTCTGCACGTCTCGGCTTTGCCGAACGCGCGCGAAGTTGGCTTTACGCAGTCCGATCGAAGGACCGCAGGTCATTTATGGACATCGAATACATAGCCTGTCTCACGCGTTTTCATGTCCATCGTTGTGAAGCCATACACGCAACATTCGAAGATGGTAAAGCCGCGAGTTGTCGCGGTGTTTACACCTTCCTGTCGTTGATCCATTCTCGACATAATAGTTAAAATCGACCTTTTACTTCCGCAATAATCGAAAGGAGCGAGGGGCTCAGCTCAAGCTGAGCTTCAACTCTTGCGGCCAGAGACAAGCGATATATATCGATGTCAGACATTTTGTGCCATGCCACACAACAGTTCCGCGTATTTGAGACGCAGATGGCCATCTTCTCCAGGTATAAAGGAACCTTTCGCAGTGAACGTCGCTCCAAACTTCTTGCAATTGGCCGAACACCCGATTTGAACGATTGAATTCCAAGCTTCGTAACTTGGGAAGGGCCGGTTAAATTCCTGTCATAATTAAGTCGCAATGTAGTCAGGATGAAGGTGTAAAATTTCGCAATTGGTGAACTCACCAAACTCATTGAATAATTCGAATCTGAGATGGCCTGCAAAACTATGATCATGATCACGTAATATCCTTCTCAATTCAACACAGCCAAACAGCAAAATCCAGAGCTTAGAAATTCAAGTACCGTGTACATGTGATCAATTATGGTATATATCCAGGTACGAAAGTGTGTGCACACATGTTCATGTGCGCCGCAACATATTATGCCCATCTGGATAGTCTATTATACTGATTGCACATGTTCTAGATCTGATCATGATTGATTATACCGCCCGATATGTACAATGATATGACAACCAGCGTGCGTATACATACATCTATATATGAGTATGCCTTTATGATTTCGAATTCTTTGCTCATTTCTGTCCCACTCCCTTTATCATGGCACCCTCAGATATACGCCTTGAACCGAATAGCGATGTGGTAGAGTTGGAGGGACGAGAGATGGCAGCCTATCCTGCCTTCCCCTATGCTTCTGCTCCAGGGGATGACGACGTATATTCTAACCTCTCTGTCACGTCTACTATTCATTAACAGCATGCAGATTTTGACAATGTCATTCTCAGACCTTTCGATATTCAACAAGCTCCTCTTTACGAGGCCGAATGTCCCTTCCACCCCCGAAATTCGCTCACCCACTTTACCGGGGCACTATCCCAGCTCTGCTTTTCGTCCTCCGACTACGCCTCTAAGCCGACCCAGAATGAATGCGCTTGCAAATGATGTTTACGAACCGTAAGCTGCCTCCATCTGTTATAGAGATGCTGAAACCCAGAATTGCCAGTGAGGGTGCCACTGCACGCCACCTGTTGGAATCAACAATCACTGATAAATATGCCCGGTGAGACACCCCAGTTGTTCTAAGAACTGCATAGCATTAAATTGAGTTTTCAGAGGTGGGGGGGATGTCAACGTCCAGCCGCTGGCTACGACGCGTCATCGTCAGAAATCACGAGCAATGGAAGTGTAAGGATTTGCTTCTCAGCAGTGGCCGAGAGTGGCAATGATGCTGACCAAACCTCCCAGATCCAGTAGCGATGAGGATGAGACTCACTGGGCAAATGCGACATCTCAATTCCAGGAAGGCCTTGATCCTGAAGATTTGTAAGGAGTTTCCTCTCGCCTCCAGAATTCGAAGAGCGTTAACACATGCCAATTTTTTAGAAATACCATTGGGGGTGCGGGGCAGCTTGCTGCCGCACAAAATATCCAGCACGCTTTGGGGGAGATGATCCAGCGTATGTGAGTGAATTGACTGCCTTCTAATTAGCGACGCTCAGAAAAGAATCTATTGAAAGGACCGATACGCCTAAGAGCAGCAATCCTGTCAGGTTGTAAAGTTAGCCTTCTTCTCTGCCCCGCCTCAATTAAGCTCTTTTGTCAGACTGGACCAATCGGGGATTCCTGCAGGATACGCATCGACCTCGACACCGGCACCGCTATCTCGCAGAGTGGCTTCCCACACGCCAATCTCTACTTCATATCCACCCAGCCAAGCACCAGCACCTTCCCGGTATGTAAAATCCTGTAGAAGAAGCATGAGACCTGAACGTCATTTTTTTCGAATCAGTAAAAAAGCATCGGCTGTTATGAACTTGCTGGCAAACCATGCCAACAGAACACAACCAAAGCCCATAAAGCAACAACAACAAGGGGATTCACAAGCAAGACTTCGCCGGCATGTTTTTCTCCTCCTACGAGTGGGACTCACCATCTAATTCAGCCGATTGAAGATTCAAGGCAGCGTCCTCATTAGTTCCAGCTGCCCCGATTGCACCCGCAGCCGCTCCTCCAAGCTCGTCAGCTCCCCCTGTGACTGTGGAGATCGAGGTTGTAACCGACCAAGTGCGCACAATCGGAAACAACAACAGTCACGTTCATGGGTTCTTTCGGTTTGTTGCGACATATTCGTTGCATAGCTTTGAAGCTCCACCGACGAGTGCGCTGGAAGACCAAAAATTCACATACGGTGATGTATTTGAGCATAGCACTCCTGATCAAGGGGGGGGTTTTGAAGCCTCAACGACGTTCATGATCTGGCAATATAGGGAAGACACGTGGGTCAATGTGACCGATGGCTATAATCACGGCAAAATACACCATCCCTCAATCCCAGGATACGTTCTCGTGCCTTCAACCGCGCGCGAGCCCAAACCCACCTACATCCTGTTAAAGAGCTTTAATGACAGGAAGCGGTCTGGGTAGGAATGTGCCATCAATTTCAATTTCACAATGTAAAGATATCTCAATGCATTAGTTACGAATGTATATGTATCCCCTCCTTCGAATCAACGTGCCAACTCTCTCTGGATCTTCAAGTAATTAATCGCTAATTTGGCTTATTGCACGGAATGTGATGTGACTGACGTGACGCACAGTTCCCTCTCCTCTCAATTTTCAACATGAACATGAACTGATATTCCACTCTAGATCTTGGATATGGGCCCTTTCCTCGGGTGGGTCGCCAAGGACTAAGCGCCACGCGGTAGGGACTCTGGTCTTGCCGAGTCGCTCCGCGCGTGCTTTAAAGGGCGACTCTGCGGATTTCTGACTTATGTGCATGAGCGGGCATTAGTCTTCGTTGTGGTGGTGATCATGAAGCGAATGCGGTGCGTAACGAGCTGGCTGCTGCCGCATGGGAGTACCAGTATGTTTCTCTTCCTATTGCTGATGTTAGCGCCAATTGATGATCGGCATAGCCATACTTTCTGCAATTGCAACCTTGGGCCTTCTGCTCATCCAGCGAGTTCTCATCGGTAGTAAGCCCTTCTGTTTTTCAAACCATATCAGCTCTGACCTCCCCCCAGCGGCTACGAGTATGGGCCTGGAGATTCCTGGAGTCTGTAGCTGCCGATGTCGCTGCCAATCTCAAGAGCGGCGGTCTTTCGCTCCTCCACGCTTCCCATTCTCTACTCAAGGACTCAAGGGCCGATTGATGCTGGAGTGCACGACCCACGATGAAATGAGTCAGCCGGCTTGTTCAAAGGCTCGACAAGAGCGCCGCTGCATGAGATGAATGGAAAGGAGCGCATCATTTAGACCTTTTTCAAGAGGAATCACCATTGACGTTGTTTTACCGAAAATGGCCAGAGGAGCATTTTCCTCTCCCTCTCTCGCGTCCACATCGTCATCAAACACTGCAGCAAAAAATGTACCATCGTCAGGCAGCCTCTCAGCCGGTGATTGCGGGGGCTTCGATCATAGTATGCGCAGAAGTAGGACATGTCTTCGTGCGCATGCGCGCCCGTTCTGTCTCTGCCTCCTCCGCCTCCGCCTCAGGCAGCAAAAACTCAAGTTGAAGCGGGCCATGAGGTACAGAAAAACGTTCAAGATCCAGCGCTCAAAGTACCTTCAGCGAGTTGCGCGAGTGTGTGCGAATAGTACGGGGCGCATGGTGCACTTCGGGCGGATCATCGACCTAGGGAGATTGAGCTGGGGAGTGGAGGAGCATTTGGGTGGTGTGCGGCCTGAGAAGGTGGTGCTGGTGGTGTCCAACTGGATACTCGCTTTCCTCATGCTGTTCCGGATGTCATCCTTTCCGCCACCGACCGAAGTTTCTAGCACACCGAGTGGTCCTCGCTGCGCGTTCGCCTGTTTTCAGGAAGGTGTTGGCTGGGAAAGGTGTTCAATCGCAATCATGCATCACTCTTCGCATTCTCGTCAAAAGCAACATCCACCCACTTATCCATCTCGGGCTGCCACCCTTTCATCATCCTCATCCTCCTCCAAAACCTCTATTCTGACAACCTTCCAGCCATCTGGGACCGTCGTGTAGCTGCGGTTGGGATGCGCAGCTTGAAGGCGCTGGCGGGCTTGTTGGAGCCCGCATATGCACGTTGGAATGACCTCCGAAAAGGCCTTGGAGGGACTTCGGCAGCAATTATAAGTGCTGCCAGTGTTATATAACCACAGTCGATAACCTTTTCACTTCTTGCGAGCATCTCTTACTCGGACTCCAAGCATTGCTTGCTCAAGTTATCTAGTGTTTGCTGCCATTCCCACCCACTTACTGCCTCGCTTTCGAATTCCCCACCCTTATCCTCCTCCAATACCTCTGCTCTGATGTTTGACGATCTTCCCGCCATCGATATCTGGGACCGCCGTGTAGCGACCGCGTGCACGCCACTCAGGCACCGCACTACCACGCCACTCAGCTCGCGATCGGGGGTACCAACGTTAACATGGAGCCCCTTCTTGATTAAAGCCGGATGCTAGGCGACATACGCATGCCCTATATATGCGCTCGCCATCCAGCTAGCCAAGTTCGCTCGTTAGCAACAGCTCTCCCAAAGTCACCTCTCTCGCACTCAGGTGTGTTTGCTGGGAAGGCTATGGAGAAACATGCAGAGTGGTTGATCATGAAGTTGCAAATTGCAATTAGCTCACAATTGAACGGAGCGCCTGATTAATATTGCAACATGTACAGGTCTATATATATATATATATATATGCCAAGGCGAGTTTTTTTGCCTTGAGGCGCGACTGGCGGTCCCCATGTGCCATGTCATGATCATCTTGGAGTTGCCCCGTGCACCTGTGCATATAAATGCATGTATATACGTATGGCTACATCTATATCGAAAGCAACAACAACTTTCTGATCAGCGATTTCAGCAAGATAGACACTCACGATCGCCACCAGCATTCGCATTTCCTCTCCAATCTCACAGCTTCATTCTCCAATGAAGGAGGTAGGTTTGCGCAAGTCTGTTCCGGGAGCAGCTGCAGTACTGACATATATACGCGATAGGATCTGATTGTGATCGCAAGCAGAAGGGAGCTTATTCCCCTTGAGCTCCAAACCGAGGTTATTCGCCTATCCAACCACTGCTCATTGGGCGCCATTTCTCTTGTCAGCAGAGCGTGGCGAAAGCTGGCACACCAGTTCCATCCACCCGCCATCTACATTCGGTCTCGCAAAAAGTATTATGAACAATTGCTCCTCTTTACGCCTGACGAGATCTGCAACGATCACTATGGACCAGAATTCCGGAAAGCTGTACGGACTCTGCATTTCGAGTACCAGGATGAAATACTATTCCCCACAAACAATCTCATTCGGCAGCTCGTTTCCCTTATCAGGCCTGACGGCTTCAGCGAAGTGACAGAGCTTGTCGTACACAAAGGACGCTATAGATTGATTCCTTCCATCGCTCATGTCCCCATCTCTTATTCACTTGCCTCAATCACCAAGCTTGTCGTCATTGGCATTAAAGATGGAATCTCAACAATGGATTTGATTACACTAGGTCGCACCCTTCCAAACTTGATTGACTTGAAGATCCACTCTGGTCTGCAGTTCGTCACTCCAGATCTGGGCGAACCTGTAACGACTTACCCCGCGCGGGTGAGTGACCTCAAAGTCCTTGATGTCGGCGTTGTCACAAGCTACGTCCTCTCCCTCCTTAAGACGTGGCTTGTGAACCAAAAATCACTCCACACCTTGCGTCTAACAACACCATCTCTCCTGTCTCGCCCACTCGCAGGAGCCGCCTCCATTTACCATCTTCTAGTCTCAGTGTCACCGTATAAGCTGAAGCGAACCCTTCAAGAAGACTACAAAGACACTGATGTTCATATTCTTGAACTTACTACTCCGTGGCGTGGCTTTCGACTTGCGGCTGTCCTTGATGCGCTCACAAGCGAAATTCGCCGGTTTGCGAGACCGCCACGCACCACTATCAATCGCCTTGTTATTAATCTTGGCTTTGATTCGGTTCCGGCTGCGGGCTGGAAGATCACTGAGCCTGCCTGGGGTAGATTCTGGCGGAAAATCGAACTCTTGCATTCCAAAGGCTTGTTGTCTGTTGAAGTTAATCTTCGACCTCATGTCATTGGGAGATACTCTCTCGACATGGCAATGTCAGAGATCTCCCGCCACAGTGCTACGGTGATGCTGGATCGAGATGAAGAAGACAATATTTCACCCGTTTTCATACAAGTAGATGATAATGATGGCAGTGGGAATGTCCTCGTTAATGACCCCGTCGACGAGGTCATTGAGATCTCGAGTGGTGGTGGTGAAGACGTAGATGACCCTATAGTTTTGTACGATTAACCATGTTCGAGATTCCGGAAGAATATCAAAGTCCGTGTAGTTAAATTCGTATACCGATGCATGTCAATTGCACTCAATTGCAACTTGCTCATTCAAGTTTTCGGAATTCTTTGTTCAGCGGTACTTGACCTTCAAGCACGATCACTCATGATCAATTGCAATTCGAACGATATTAGTAATATTCTGGGCACTAGCACCTACAGGCTACTCTCAGCCCCAACCAGTGATATTCCCTTGGCGATGTATGCAGTCCACGACGTTGTCACCTAATCAAGTGAAAGTTGACGGCGCTATGACTGGGATGAACTCACGGGGCATCGTGCGCAACTTAACGGAGGGTCCCATTTCGGTCTGATTTTTCGGATGATCATGAGGCGGATAGATGGTGGTTTCTAGTTACTAAATACTCACCTGCATTTGTAAATCCGATCATTTTGGCAAGACACGCAGAGGCACCTTCACGAAGTGTATATGTGGCATGCCATGGCTAATCATACAGTGCTAGTCACGACAAACAATGGCCAATTAGAGATCACCAATGCTAAGACTAGAAGAGCCACGGAGACAAACAAAATGAAACCAGTACATGTGCAGTAGAAGGTGTTGAACATGAAGTGTCCTGGATTTGTCGCCAACTGGAAGCGCAACAAATCTCCCGCATCATCTGGAGGCAAATCGACGCGCAACAGAACAAGGACTGCGTCTCTTCCTTCACCGTTTGCGGTAAGAAGAGTGGGAGTGCCGCGGACGACGTGAAATGCCTATAAAACTCAATAAGCCCTGAAATTGATTCGATGGCAGTGATCGAAAGTACAATTATTTGTGTGACTTGGGTATTCAACCGATTAGACGATGAAATTCACAATAGCAGCACTGAGAGGCTCACATCCCCTTTTCTTGTCGTTCCTTTGCATCGAAAATTGAGGCGGATCTCTCTTGCAACACCAACTTGCGATCACGACCTGGCCATCCACGTGCCCCATTGCTATTGTTTTTTCATCAATGAAAACCAATCGAACCACCCGCCGCTGGCCGGCTCTTCCCAACGACTGATACGTAGTGGTACTGAGGTGCCTTCTGTCGGCGAGGGAGTACCATTCTATCCCGATTGCCATGTTCCAGACAGCAAGTAACTGGCTAGACAGCGAAACAGCTATTCCGCCCCTGGTTATCGGAAGGTCAGCTCAAAATAGAATCTGATCGTAAACGCGCACATCCAGCTGTTGTCGCCTGGCGGGATCCTCCATAAAATATTGTGCGGATGATGGGCAGAGTAAGCGCTTGTATCAGGTGTAAAGGTAGGATATTGGATTTGTGGGATGGCACGCACTACAGTCCGACTGCCCCAAACCAGGCCACAAGGACTACATCTACGTTCAGATAAACAGTCTGGTGTGGTATGGTGATGTCGCGAGATTCTAGAGGCGTTTGCAAATACTGAATGGGCTTCTGAACGTCTGTAAAGCTTAACATATGTGGTGACCTGTTTCAAGTCCCTGCGCCACACCTACCAGAGAAGGGCTGTGAAATCAATCCTGCGCATGTTCGTCGTTCGCCAGTGAACCCAATCGCCAATTGAGTGCCTTGCGGGTTGATTGCGAGGGAGTGGATGAACCCGGAAATATCGCGGTAGTGAACCTCCTGCTACGTAAGACGAAAGATGATTGAGTACGACCTGGAATCAAGCGGTCAAGCAAGATACATGCGTACCCCACGATATTGCAATGAAATGCAGTAGAGGTTCCCAGATCCGCACCCGACCAATAGACTCAGGGGCTTTAACGGATGCCATACGATGGCCCTTATTTTTGAACCTACGTATAAACGTCGCAACCGTTTCCAATCTGAGTTAGGTTGCCGAATCTGCTGCGTTGAACGTTGTACATGTGAGAAGTGCCGCCTTGTGTCATAGTGAAAATGTGCATAAACCTCACCGTGAGGATGCCCAAATCATTGCCTGTTGCAAGAAGACTCCCGTCTGGCGAGAAGCTGATAGCTCCGACAGAACTCCCCTCTCCGGGAATCTGTCCCTCGTTTGTCAATTTTGGTTTGGAAGGGGGCATTGATAATCGGCGCGCGGGTATACATAGTATAACTAAATATATATATATAGCTGATGTCACTTATAAATAGTGTTACGTCAGTATCATTGGTGATTCAACTCATTCCTCGCTATCGTCATCGTTCCTCTCTTATCCTCCACCCGCACATGGGTCAAAGTCATGTAAAATACGATAATAGGTGGCAACATAATGGATAAGCGGAAAGGCGCGCAGAGCACGACCATCTTTAGCCGAAGTCATAAAATCTGGCCAATTTATCGTTCAAAAAACTCGCCACCATCCCAGTTCCAATCCTGACCTTGCCCTCCGGATCATTCTTTAAGTATCGCCCTTGCCACTTCTTGATACGCTCCCTCAATCTCTCCTTCAACCGCGCCTTATCCGCCCTGCCTGGCTTTCCAGGTTTCGTATTTAATATAGGACGGGTCGAGAATATCTTCCGTTTTCGCATTAAACGTGAGAACGTGACTGGAGAGCTGGGGGTGGTTGACATTTCCAGTGTCAGAAGAGTAAGCTTCCGTGATATCAGTCCACATCCCCTCCTTCCATAACCAGATTGACAACTCGTTGTTCCGATTGTCTTTATGCATAAAGACATAGCCGTCTTCCATGGGGATCTGTTCACCAGAAAGTTGCCAAGGGTCAATAGGCGGGCTTGACACACTTTTCGTTGAGGAGCTAAAAGCCCAATAGAAGTGTCCATGATTTCTGATCGACACTTTGTGTATGTTCAACTTTTCGGCGGCGGGCGCAACGGGAGGGGAAGACGGCCTGCACATGTTCTGCCATTCAATCAACATTCAATGGTAGAAAAGAAACGAACTGGTCAATCGGTTGGGATTCAGAGGCTTGCGAACTATTGCTTTCTGACTGTAACTTTGACACCGCAGGGCGGAAGTGATGTGACTCTCGCAGCAACGACTCTTGGGGCGCAGACTGTTGGGAGCGTGATGCTTGTGGCGGGGACTCTTGTGATGAGGACTCTTGTGAGTGAGTCGCTTGTGGCGGAGACTCTTGCGATGAGGAATCTTGTGGGTGAGTCGCTTGTGGCGGGGATTCTTGCGATGGAGACTCTTGTGGATGAGATGCTTGTGGGGATACTTGTGATGGGGCCTCTTGTGGATGAGACGCTTGGGGTGGGGACTCTTGATGACGTGGCAGTTGAGGCTGCGACTCTCTGCTTTTTGGCCGCACCTTGGGTTCCGCAGAGCGCACATCAGTCTGCTTCGGATTTTGTGGCCTGCCCCTTTCAAATGAGTTTCTGCGTTCAGAGTTTATAGAGTCGGTCGCGGCCCTTTGCTCAAATGAGACCCTAAAGATTACGATCAAAAAGTTTAACAGGTGCTTTAAATTTGCCAAATGAGCTTACGATCTGCTGACAAAAGATGGCCAGCATGGCATACAGTCCAAGATCAAGGGCCCCGTTCAATGTGAGAAAGAGAGACGTACGCCGTGTTCAAGACATCCGTAAAACCCTTACGAAGCATAGCGCAGACTGCAGCGGTGGTTGTGTTTAGATCATACTTTGGTTGCAGTTGTTTGATGATGTTCTCGACCTCTCGTGCATCTGCGGAGCTGGGCAGTGAGTATAATTTCATAGAACACGCATGGATGGCGGTAGTTGATTTAGTTGCACATAAGTCACGAAGAAGTTCAGCAAGTTTTTTGATGCCTTTGGAATCGGGAGTGTCTGCATCAACGCCCGGCACTGGTAGGATTGTCGGCTGCGCACTGACTCGAACCTGGCTATAAACCGGATTGATAAATCAACGCCCTTGTGGCTCATAATAGAGTGAACATACGAGTCCTTGTGCCTCCTGGCAGAAGTTTTGGGATGAGGAGCTAGATGTCTTTGGGAGCTACTCAGAGCTCTCCGGGAGCTGCATGCGCAGCCAGAAGAGAAGTTCGTCAAAGCCTTATATATACGCCAGGCCTCAACCTTACAATTTTGTTTGTACAATGGAAGAGATGTCAGCGGAGTCTGAGAGAGGCCAGCCGCCGAAGTCGTAATTGAGGAGCTGCTGCGCATCAATAAACATAGCGTTGATGACTTGAATCTCACATCGACATCACGGCCAAGGTCTAGATCTCCGCACGGGAAGCCTTGGAAATTACGTTTGGAGCTACCAGGTAGGGAAGTTACTTCCTCGGACGCACAAAGGATGCGCTCCACATCATCAGGCTGGGACTTGGACTCGGTCGCCATATATGCATGATGCATGATGTTTATGTAATGTACTAGTCAAGGTGTTTATTGAAACACGCTCGATTAAATAAATAATCTCTTCCGCCATGCAACACCATTCATCTATACACTCTAGATCTTCAGATCATGAAAGATCCTCAATTGCAGGTCGTCCCGAGGAAAGGCAATGTAATTTGGCACTTTTACTCGTTTGTCGGGCTCCATTCATCATGACATCTAATCATAGCTTTCAATCATAACGGGCCGATCGCGACTGGTGAGCTGCCATGAAAGACCGTTGAAATGCTACGTTGACCCCGACTATAGACAACACTCCCAATTCCGCTCCACACCAAGCAGAGGGGACTCGCACACGAGGCCAGGCTACTCGGATGGCTGGTGAGCTTCATGATCAACAGTTATGCGCGCGCTGACTTTAGTGAAATTTCCAACGCCTAGCTATGGCTCGGTCTCCGAATCCTTTCCTTCAAAATTTGGGCGAGGAAAGGGGAGGGTCACAGCACCCGGGGGGCCCAAATAATCTAGATGCCTCACTACTATCACCTCGACGCCATGCCAACCCTAATCTTCCTGGCCATCAATTCAACTCACCAATTTCACCTCATGATCATCGCAGAGCCGTTGGTGTTCAGAATTATGCGCAACATGCAGATATGCCTGCAGGTCCTCTCCCACGTACGGTCTTGTTTCCTATGTGCCTGCATATTTTCCTGTTCGCTTACTCTGTATGATTTCTAGCTATTTCAGCTCTTCTAAATGGCCAGCTTCGTTCCCCATCTTTTTTACAGCGTCCGTATGTACATGTTACCAGTGAGTGCCTTCACTAATCACCATTTTGTGATTTGTCGTCACCCGTCTGGTAATCAAGGCAATCGCGGCGGTAGAGTTCCCGGCTATGGTTTGCCTCATCGCGATTGTGAGTCCCTCGGCTGCTGCGGCTTTAAAATATCAATATTGATCAATGCTTCACTTTGAGCAGCCCCTTTTCCAGATCGGCGTCGAAGGCCCCCGCGCACTCAACCAATGGTTCAAAGTATGAGACCACTTTCTCCCTTTAGTATAACACAAGAGGCACCTCCCCTCCACCGCAACAGAAGGGCAAATGCAGCATGGCATGACCCGCTGCCGGACCCGCTAGCACCAGATGACTCCATCGATGAAGGGCAACCTTTTGCCTACGAACGCCAATCTCGAGCAGGCCCATCTACTGCCATGGAAACATCTACTTCTTTTGCTGATCCGCAGGGCCTCTCTTATGAACGGTTTCGCCAACCGCAATCAAGTTTTCAAGCAGGCTCCTCCACTTTCCCTCAGGGACCATCTTCTGGACCAGCTCCCACTCAAGCAGGACCATCTGCTGCCCCAGGGGCAGATTCGTTTCATGCCAGACAGACGCGTGCTTCTTTCCCTTCCCCACAAGGGTTTCGCCACTTCCGCCAGCCTCGTGCAAGCCCAGCTGGTTCCGGGGAGCCGCCCGCTTCTTCTGATATCCCCCTAGCTGGACCACCTCGGGAGCGTTCAATGCCTGATATCAATGGTTTGAGACTCAGCCCGACTATTCCAAGCGTTGACATAGGCATGGATCAGAATGTAGGCCGCATCGTTGAACCTCCAACCTGGGGAGTTCGCGCCCTCAGCCCACTAGCATACTCCACTGGCCTTTCAAATAATGACGTTGATGGTGGTGAGGAAGAGCAAGACGTTTGGGAAGAAGGAGTGGATGAGGACACATATGGCGATGGGGAAGAGCGAGAGGACGAGGGCGATGACGAAGGCGAGGACGAGGACGATGACGATGACATAGACGATGTCAGAGATGGAGGGCGATGGGCACCCCTTGTATGTTTCCTCGACACTCTCAACGCATTTTCACTCATGTGTGGCACCAGGATCGCTTTTCAGAAAAGTTCGATAGCCTTTCTCGCCATCTTACTGAGGTTACAGCAAATATAAGAAATATAGAAACACGATTGCAGAATATGGGTCCTGCTACCTCGACTCTACCGGTGGGACGAAGTGAAAGAACGAAGGCGCCTAAGCTAACAACAACCCCTTGCCATGCATCGCCCTTAAAAAACACATTGCACATGGAAGTCAGGAAACATCTTATGGACCTCTTAGAACAAAATCCTGAAGAATGCTTCGTGTCGCTAGATGAAGCAGAAGAATGGGCTCAAGGATGGAATCCAGGACTGAACCAGTCATGCTGTACGATTGATCTCTTCAGGGTCGATCTGCATGCCCCGCGCAGCGCATGGAATAAATCCGCAGCGCGAATATTCGTTCTTGACTTCGCTCGCTTTCATCAATTGAACGACATGACTCTCACCGCATATGACAAGATAGAGAAGGCTTTTTTTACGAGGATGAGAACTCTGCGGTCATGTTACATGCGCCTTCAGAAACCTAACACAATGCGAATATCGGAAACTCAGAAGTTGAGAAGATATGCGAGGAGACGAGCAGTATGTGTTCCACTATCTTTACCTAACTACATCCTTGTTAACGGTGTAAACAAAGCTTTTTCTTAGGCGGTTGTATATTGCCGATTCGCATCATCTACTCAGAAGGCATGTTAATATAATACAGCGACTTGGTGTAGCAGGGATGTCAGACGACGAATCGGAAACAGAGGAGCTCTCACGAAATCCTGCCATTGGTCAGCGCATTCCTCTGTTCTACACTGTTCAGCCGAGGTGGAGAATGACGGGTGTTACGGAATGGCTTCACACCTTCGATGCCGTTTACATGATCACACGGAGGACTGAAGGCCCCTCCCGAGGGGCGTATCCTCGAGTGCGATTTTATGAAAGGGACCCGCCAACTGTAGACGATTCAAAACGCTTTGTCGCTGATCTGCCCAAGAACGCCTACAACGCCACTTGGCTCGCTTGGAAACCAGATAGAGATCATTCCGTTCGTCCACAGCAGCCTGAATATGATTTTTCTCATGATCCGGGAATCTTCCGGTGGGTGATTTTATTATATCTCCTCACTGAGTAATTGATAATGAGTGGTTTTTCAGCCTATTATCTTCTGTTGACCGTTCGTACGCGATGTATTGGTAGTTCTGTATTACATACACTCGCGTTGTCATGACATATGTGTGCCTGTGGCTGTTTCGGCAGCCCGGCAGCCCCGAAGAAGACGCCATCATCTGCCTCTTCACCCTCTCCTCCTCCTTACTCCACCGCTTCAAAAACTCCGCTGCTTCCTTCAACGACTCCTGAATCTCTCGTAATCTATTGCTCATTCTTCACAGGCCCACCCTATTCAGCCTAAGCCTGAGAATGCTGGGGTTGCGGTAAGGATATGATGGACATAGTCGGTGTAGCGACGGGTTGCACGGGGGCCATGGGGCGGGAGCGTCCGTGCTTTTGTGTTGCCGTTTCCGCTGGTGAGTTGTGGTACTTTTGGTTTTGGTTTGAGGAAAAAATGAAGTGACTTACGTTCAACTCAAATACCAGGGTCTGGCGCGATCAACTGGTTCAAAATCTTGCACTAAGTGGTGTGCGTCCTAGGGACAGAGGTGCACCTGCGCTCGAGGCCCGCTTCCCCTTCTGCCTACTCGGGACGGGCTAGGCCGGCACCACAACAGAGGGCGTAGATCGTGATCAGCAGCATTTCTCCACTGCAAAGTTGATCCCTTCGAAGGCGGCGGTTCCCTGCTGGGTCCATCAAATGACGATGAAGAGGGCTTCTCAGGCTGCCGACTACCGACAACTTCTGATCCAGTCGATCCATGTCATGGCCATCAAGTCCTCAGAAGTGGTTGCCAGCGTGGTACATGCGCTCATGGACTTCCTCGGAGACTCAAACAACCCCAGTACTTGCCCTTCATTCTCTGCAATTTTCTGCCACCAAACTCACGACCTCTATAGGGAGGTTGTCAGGAAATTCCCTCGTCTTCGACCAATTTGAACCAAATTTCTCGCGGTCCAGATTGACGAGGACTCCAACGAACGCATCATGCATGTCCTGCATCCAAATCCTGAGTGAACTCTTGTCAACGAAGATGCTGGGTGCTCAAGAGGTCAGTCACCTCGCTTCTTTTCTTATGACAAAGCCCTGAAGAGAATTTGTGATCACCCTAGGCCTAATTATATTGCCATGGCCATCGTCAAAAGCTGAGGTATGGATTTTGCTATTTGTATGTATTGGATTCAGAAGCCTATTATGTGATGTACATATATAGCTATAGATCTAGACCGCTTGTTTTCTCTCTAAATTGCCAGCTGGTTGGCTCCAACTTGGCTCTAACTTGGCTCCAACCCACTTAAACTTGCCTGCCTTTGCTGAGGCTTCAGCACCGCGAGATAGATGGTTTGGTTTTGCCGAGTTCCTTCGTGCGTATTTGCTTTGGCACTGCTGCAGGTTTGGCCCCTGCTTGGCTATACGGGCGTGCGAGGGTGTATCTTTCAGGACCGCCGGCCCCAGCTTTGTGGACGTCGCTATCATCGCTGGCTGGAAGGCATGTTACAAATTACATTTCTTTGCAAATCTTTCAATTTTTTCCAGGCTGCCATGAAGCTAATCCTCCTCCATATGAACCCCAACCTTCCGCCGCCCCTCCACAACACCCACCCTCATCCTCAAATCCTCCATTTCCTTCTCCAGCGCCCCCACCTTCCCCTCTCCGAAGGGCATCGAAGCCATATCTCCTTCCGCCGCCGTGGTCGCTTTGCCGACTGCGAAACGCCTTCCCCATTTGCACCCACCAACCCATACTTCACCATCTTCGCCTCACCATCAGTCACATTGGCGCAAAGGGCCACCACCACCCACGTCATGGGGTAGACTTACCTCCTTATATCACGACGATGTCCTATGGCGAGAAGGTGCTCAAAGGAATCGCAGAGCTTGCCCAGCTAGCTCAATTTGGATTTTTGCGGACAGGGCTCACGAGAACCTGGCATGGGTACGCTACTGCACACGCTGTTTGGGAACTGCCCATCTGCAGTTTCTGACTTCTCTGTCGTCGAGAGGTCAAGGACAACCCAAAGGAAAGACTTTTCGTCTCGGAGAAATTAAAGGGCAAGCCGTTCGCTAATTATGCACGTGGCGCACGGCCCGCTGGCAAGGCAGGCATGACAAGACACTTCCACTCTTCGCTGGTAACGGCGCCCGCACTCAGAGTACGCGTTCAGCCACTGCGGTTTCCAGCTTGCTTCAATAGCTGATGTCCTTCATCTCTGCCGGTGCCGACGTCATCTTCTACCATGGAATGACCCTGCAGCGCTTTGCGGAATGGGACTCTGGAAACCGCTCTAGCTATGCCACATGCGCGGAGAACCCAAGACCATCTTTCGGCTTTGCGCGAAATCTTGGAATTTGGGCCACTTTTCTTCTCGAAAACGTTAAGTGCAATGTTGAAGCAAGCAGATCGCGTACTGCATTATTTTTTACGTGCTGACGCTTCATTCCAGGGCTAGCAATACGTATACGCTGGAGAGTTCATTCCCTGATCAGTGCATTCATGATCAGGCGTATTGCTGAATGATTACGTAATTCAAGCCTTACGCGTGACCAAGTTGACTATAATTATAATTACGCAAGGCTATAGTCTCAACACAATTCAATTGCAACTGACCAATTTGAATGCCTACAGTTCACGGGAGCCACCATTCTGGTGCGTTGAGAGCTCGTCTCCCCTTCGTTGTCTGCCCCTTTGAATGCATACCTGGTAGATCTCGATCTAGAACAATCCTTTGCCAGTTATGAAGATGCGGAAGATCACAATACCCTCTTTGCAGCAGATCTACCGCATGGAGATCAAGGTGCGCCTTTTGCATTCCAGGTTAAATGCTTTCTAAGCGCCGACCTAGTCATGGCTGACATACCAGTAGACCTAGATCTCTGCATCGGGAGCGTCCCCACCCTTGGTGCGAATCAACCAATCATACCATGCTGCCTTGTGTTGTGCTGAGAGATTTTGCGATTTTCAGGATATCACTCTCTGATCGAGCACTTTCGGTGCGGATCAGGCCACAGCGACGATCCAAGTTTTGGTATTCATAGTCGGAGTGAAAGCTCCGGTATGTACATATGGCAACATACAATGGATATTGACGTAACAATCGACTTTAGACATTTGGGATCAGGAATGCGAGCAGATTGCATGGCCATGGTTAGACGACCGCCTCAATTTCGGTTTGCCTAGCGTGAACGACCCCCCTCCGACTCTGCCTTATGAATCTGGTCACACATGGTTTCCCGGTATTATTGATGGCCAAGCAACTCTACTTACCCGCCAGCGCCCCGCCAGTCGAAACGGGCAGACGATTACCACTCAGCCACCCGCTGAATTACTTCCCAGAATCTTTTCACTATGCATGATCAATGACTGCGACACTCTGCTGCTTTCGAACGGGCCCTGGCTCTTTACGTACATCTGCAGCTCGTGGAGAACGCTAGTCCTTAACACACCAGAGTTGTGGACTTCCATCCGTTATTATGATGACTGGGAAGGCGGGGCTGGTATTACATCTCTACTTGCTTCTGCCAAATCCAATGCGGATTTGCTAAAAAAATCTAGATCTCGTGTTGGTGCAGGACATCTTGCGTCACTTGCCCTCAATCGTTCTGGGGCCCTTCCGCTGTCATTCCAATTTCAAACGCTAGATATACAATTGCTGCATCACCCTGTTTTGTTCGCTTTGCGCATGCATTCGGCTCGATGGGTTGATGTGCATCTGGAATGTGGGGTTCCGCTCTTAAGTTCGTTGGCTGATGTACTCTTGCCATCCCTGAAAGTCCTCAACATATGGATCTGCGATGAGGCGCAGCAGCCTGAACACTGTGCCAGCCAGCTCCCAATGCGCCCATCATCCGTCTTTGCCAATGCACCTGAGCTTGCCACCTTGGCGCTCTCGGGCTTTCCTGGAGCGCCAGCTTCCATCCAGCTTCCTTGGGAGCAAATCAGGATCTATAAAACAACACTTGCAACTGCTTTTGAAGCACGTGCAGTACTTGCGCGCATAAAAAATGTCGAACATTGTAATTTGTACCTTCAAAGCGATATATACGACCCCGCGGCAGCGCCGGATGATGAAGATACAGATGCCAACTCGGATGATGAGGATATGGATGACCACTCAGAAGACAGCGACTCAGAAGACAGCGACTCAGAAGACAGCGACTCAGAAGACAGCGACCTGCTTTCGATTGATATTGGGATTGGCGACTCATTCAGTTCTGACGTTCCCTTACCTGTTCTTCCACGTCTTCAAACCCTAGTCTTCCACACCTCCTTCCTTGATTATATCGATGCCAGCCCTGAAAGTATCATAAACGATCTCACCCTTCCATCATTAACTTCAGTCACAATATGCAGCTACCATCGGGCGGGGGTTGCTGAGCGCTTGGTAGCCCTCATCCGCAGATCGGGAGCAAACTTAACAAAGCTCATCTTTATCACTTGTGCTTCTCTCACAGAGAAAGACTGTGAACAACTTCTTCGTGCCACTCCGTGCCTCTTGGAACTTGGAATTGTCGACATCAACTCAGATTTCGCAGTTTCACGTCACTTCTTGATTCCCCTCACAGTGTCACTCGGTTCGCCCGCGCTCGCCCCGTCTTTAAAAATTATCCTTATATCAGGACCATTAGAGGCCCCACATGAACAGGCCCCGCCTCAATCTGAAACAAGATTTGGGCCATCTTCCCAGCAGCCAAGCCCTCTCTCCTACAACAGGTGCCTTCTCGACATGATTGAATCCCGTTTCATCTCACGTGTCATATCACGAGGAAGGGGGTTGGAACGCGTTGTACTTGGTTTCCACCATGACCGCCACTTCGATGAAGATGCTCGTCGTCGTTATCGGCTCCTTCAGAGTGCAGGGCTCTCTATTTTACTCAGAAACCCGTGGTCTTCGGAAATATACCTTGATCAGTAGGCAAGTATATATGTCCGTTCAAAATTCGACGTAAATATGCAATTCTTTTATCGGGAGTTTGCGCCAGATAACACACAGGAAATCATTCTACCAATATGTTTATAAGCACCTGGTCATGCGATTATATCAATGCGCTTACGCTCCCGCCGGGGGGACTCGAAAAAAAGTGGAGTGGTTCCGACATGTAAAGAGGCATCTGACAATGGCGTGCACTTATTGTGTAAACTATTGTGCATGTACATGGGGTTTCATTTTGTTCGCCTCTGCGACTCTTCCGGTCTTAATATTGCTGATCATCAATTGGCCGTTCTTTATCAATAAGCGGAGCACTTTAATTGAGGTAGAACTACTCAGATGATCCTTCCGAGTCCGAGTCTTGAATATCCGCCAATAATTCCTTCAAATCCCTCATAGACTTTCGCAGAGATCCAAATTGACCCGCAAGCCTTGATTCAAGCACAAGGATCTTCCCAATTGGATAATGAGCAGCTGAAAAAGCCACCTTTGTCTCTAGAATGGTCTGCTCCATTGTTTCTTGTAAGCTCATGATCAGTGCGTCGGAGTCTGAGGTCCTAACGTAGGTCCTAATGTTAGCATTTTTTTTCTTCCCATTACCAGTGTTCCCCCCCTTCAATGCGTCTATAACGCCGCCTGCTGTGTAGCGCAGAGAAGTCCGTAGTACTTTTTCCTCCTACATGATTATTTAGTTATCTCTATAATGCGGAGTTTATAGGGTAAATACCAATGAGAAGTAATCAAGCCCTTCAAGTTGAATTGAGGCCAACGTCGCTGCTAGTATGTATTGAGCGTTGCGAGCATCCAACTCCGTTTCGAACAGAATAATTCCCCCAAGGATGTCATGAACACGGAACCCAGTGGGTTTGATACGTGCGGACCTGATAGCGGATGTCGCAAACTTTGAATGCAGCACCGAATCGGTCCAATCCTTGGGCATTGATTTCACAATGAGCGGAAAGCCGGCGGCGGCATTCCCCAGTTGCTGCTCATTTAGCTCCAACACGGCATTTTCAGCTGTAAAGGCGCCTTTTAAGCACATTTGTATTGCAATTGTTAAGTTCACAAGACTCACCCTGCTTGCGGGAAGCAAATGCCGCAATGGCGATTGCCAATCTTGGTGATCCCTTCGCATCACTTTCAAACAGTGTTGTAATTTGGTCAGCCATGACTAGCCCTGTTATCGACTCGCGGAATCTCTCCAACGAATGTTTCGTAGTGCATGCAATGCGAGGGATTACCATGACGCCAAAAAAGTGTCCGCGTCGATTCTCCGCTGGCAATGAGCGATGTTCTGGTGGATGCGCATGCGGCATTGTTGTTGTGTAAAGGGTATTATATTAGGCCTAGGGAGAGCCACATGTGAGTTGGATGCATATATATACGAAATTGTTATCGCGATGATCAGACCACAATCAATCAGGGCACCCTATATATGGCACCGAGTTGATGACTTATGTGCTAGTATATGGCCATGGGCCGTCAACTTCAAATTCTTCGAATCTCAATATTCGAATTCGAAAAATATGTCCATTGATTCAAGTTGATTCTGGCTCACGTCTATTCCAAAAAAATGCATTGAGGTTTGTCTTCGAAATGTGTCTGGACTTTCACCTGACCTTTTCGCTGCTAGCTCCCTGACCTTGTCCATTTTGCACCTGGCCTATACTTTCGGTGCGATCGAGAGGTGTTGTACATTATGACTAGTCCGTGGCAGGATCCGGAGACCGCATTCCATCGCGATCGGCAGCTGCGCTTGAATGGGAAGCTAAAGCAGCAGCCAAACGCTCTTTTTTTTAGTGATTGAACCGAAGCAACGAGCAGAAGAGGTCCTACGAGGTCCCAGGAGTCCCACGCGTACGGTGTTCAAGCAATTGTATTACGGACCCGGATCCACACGGACCCACAAGATCTAAATCGGCGCCGGCTCATATCATTACATAAATGATATATCCTAGAATTTCGACTTTCGAACCCACCAACGCCGTACTAGGTCTCTCGTATATGGTCTGACGCTCAAAGCTCTCCTCAACAATATTTCGCTTTCCACCAATTCATCCAGGCTAAAGCAAGTGTTCGCGATCGTGATCGGAAGCCACCCAGAATGTCGGGTACTGAGCCATTCAGAAGGAGTTCAGCAGTCATATCCTCGTGCCCTTGGCAAGTAGACGACATCGTCCTTTCCTCGGACTTTCGGTCGTCGTTGTCTGCAGACCATCCGAATAGAGTAACTATTCATCATCACTCAAGCTCTCGGACATGCATTGCTGAAATAACTTATCATCTAGGAGTTTCTCTCAGTTCTAACCAGAATCGAACGAGATATATCAACCAGGCAAAATGCCGATAATATTCATGCATTCCGAAAGACTATAAGACTCGGTGAGGATCAAGTACCTCGTCGAAAAATTACATCGGCTCCGATTGTTCGACCATTGTATCCGCCTTTCAAGTTCTATTTCATTCGAACCGTCTTGATATATCGATTGCTCGAGGTCATGATTATCCTTGAAGACGTCCCGCGAACCCATTTTGTTCCCAAATTCAACAGGCGTAAGGCCCTAGGGTGCGGGCCAAGTTTGGTTGGTCGTTCATTGCAAAGAGGAAACAGTGTATGCTTACATTTATGTAGGGCTGGGGAAAGATGAAAGATTGGACTGAAGCATTGATGAATTTTCGAGAGGAAATGTCAACTCTAGGTGGAGAGGGAAACTCTGGTCATTCGGCGGCGAACATTGACGTCACCTTGCTGCGATCGATCTCTTCTAAATTGAAACACGGAAAAGCACTGGTATCAGTCACAAACATTGAGGCAGCTGGGTTATTGTTGAGGGCCATTTGGAAGGTAGGCACATAGCTGAAATCGATGCAAATTCTAACTGCCGGCGATTCAGGGATACTGGTCGGATGCCAGTAACAAGGAAAATGTGATCGACTTCCTGACAAAGGCAGAGTATGTCCACTCTCAGGAGCGTGCAGATCCGTCAAATTTGTTAATTGATGCATTTTTTAGTCACAAACCGCTGGAGAGTTTGGGGGATCTGGACATTGATGCAATCCGTCAACCTATCAAAGATTTCCATCGTTTAAATCTACCAATCCACGTGGCTGGGTTCCTGTCCCCCTTGGGACTTATCACTGGAGTACCATTGTGCAGTCGCGACTACGATCGATACTCAATCTTCTTAGTAGGTCTTTTCGTAAGCTGTTGCAGCTTATCATGCTTTACTTATCAGCTGGGCTAACGCAACCTCTAAACTCAGATGTGGAGAGCCTTAGGAAATATGCAACCAATCCTGTTACGTTGCGTTGAAAAACTTCTTTGGCATGCTATCATTTCCGTCGCCCAGGGACAAGAAACCGGACATTCCGCTCTAGTAACCTTTCTCGCGCAGGTTCCATGGGAGAAGCTCGGTAGTGTTCAGGATAGTGAACGTCGATGGTTCCACGCGGGTATGTGTCAAAATGCCCCTCGTACTACCTTAGAATAACGCTTTGTTAGTGGAAAAAAAGGAAATGAGATATCTGGAAGAATTCGACGATATCGATATCAAAGAACTTCCTTTATCTTGGCCGTTGAGGATAACGGAGGATGGACACCCCAATAGCGATCAGCATCACAATCCCGAACCAAACTGTTGTTGCCCTAGAGATCGGACCATCGGAGATGGTGCTTTGGACGACAGCCACGGCGACCAAGCACCCGAAGGCCTCAATAGCAGTGCTCAGCATCACAATCCTGACCCAGAATGTTGTGACGCTGGCAATGGGATGATCAGAGATGATGCTTTGGACGACAGCCACAGCGACCAAACACCCGAAGGCCGCCCCAATAGCAGTGATCAGCATCACAATCCTGACCCAGAACATTGTGGCGATCGGATGGTTCGCGGCGACCAAGCACCCGAAGGCCGTCCCAAAGGTGATCAGCATCGCAATCCCGAACCAGAATGTTGTGGCACCGGCGATCAGAAGGCTGGAAATGGTGCTTTGGGCGGCCGCACTGACGGCTGCAGCGAAGATATACTAGGAGATCTAAGTGATTTATCTGAACTATCTTCTGACGAAGACGTCCCCCCTCCAGTTCCAGACAAGGCAAAGAGAAATACTGGCAAGGGCTTGGGCCGCCCCAGCCGCAAAACTCCCACAAAAAGCGAAGGGAAAGCTATGGCCATAACGGGGATCGGGTCAGTCTCTGAATGGCCAATCGATGAAGCTGAAATGGAGCGCCTAGCGGTGAGCTAATTGGTTGAATTACTTTGAAGCTTTATAAATCATTGCCAGGCACCTCGACCCCCGCTAACCCTAGAATTTGACAAGATCACCCAGGTAGTTAGCTCTTTCATTTTGGACGGTCATGGCTTGGGGCTAACTCCGTATCAGAAATACAAAAGCCCCAAGCAATACTTGCTTTACGGTCCACATGAAGACAACTCGACCACTTACATACCTTCCTTTCATGTCAGCATCTCACTACCATACATGTCTATGGATTTGACCTGACAATTTCAGTAGGCAAAAACAGACCTGGGTCATTTTGACGCAGTGTGGGATTCTGTTTTGCGGCAGTATACCTGTGTGTCTGCTGAAGGACCGCACCTGCCCCTTCACATAGCAAAACCGGACGATTCAATCTTTTGGATATCCACACATAATAACTTCAAAAAAATGAGTCATGGACAAAAACAGGACTTGATGCGCAGAAAAAAGGTTCTCGTCATCACTGGTCTGCCAATGGATGGTCTTGCTTTCGATGAAGACGGCATGAGTGAAATCGGTGGGATTGATGTGCCCGTTGACGTGCAGGGTGCGGAAATTTGTTGTTATCCCAGTTCTCCGCATTGATTTATATCGATATTTCTTTCAGATCAATCGATCCCAGCCAATAACGGCGATTATAACGTAAGGTTAAAATTTGGAACTCTCAGGCATCTGCTAGCAAGCGCAAGTTCGCGCGACGGGCGCACTCTGAATGCCCTCAATTTTCCCCTTGCCGTTGCTGATGCGAAACCTGATGGCATTGCCAGCGACCTTGCAGCCTGGATCGCAACTGAAAACACTGCTTGGTGTAACGCTTCCTCCTCCCATTTCCCCAGTCGCGACGTCCGCTGGGGATTGGCCGGCAACACGAATGCCATCCACTATTGGCATATAGATTCAGATGGCTTTGGTACCTTTGTTGAGCCTTTGGTCGGGGAAAAGTTGTGGCTAGTGGCACGTCCCTTGGATGATCCAGATGCTTTCTCCAGAACGAATATCTTTTCAGTCGAACACTATAATATGGAGGGCCCGAACACCCATATATTTGCTGTGGAAGCCATGCTCCTGGTTCCTGGTACGCGACTGTGAGTTGTAAAATCTTGCGACAACCAGAGAACACCACAAACATGACTTTCTACAGGTATATGCCGCCTAATACTCCGCATTGGGTCCTGACTGTGTCCCATGCGATCTGCCACGGGGGACACTTCTATTCTAGCGGTTCTATTAGGGAAACGGCTGTCGCACTTTATCGTGCATTTGCCTCAGGGGGGCATCTGACGAATACGACTCACGCCGCTTCACGCGTTCTTCTTCGACGACTGGGATTCTTTTGGCACTCGAATATTGTTCTTGGGGAAAACAGAGGCTCAAGTTTGTTCTCTCCCAAACGCGATCTCATGACACTCTTACAGTCCTTTTTTTATAGCCCGTTTTTCTGCTCATGTTCCAGATATTACGATGTGGGAAGGCGTTTTGGATCTCCTCTCATTTTGCGCTCTTATGGAGTTGCTGAATGTTGTCGATCAATCGACGTACGAGGTTGCGTCGTCCACATGCAATTTCGACTCTTCCCGCCCTGCTGATCCAGGGATGTCTCCCCTCCACCGTTTGGAGTGCATTGCTGCGCGGAGGATCAGCCGAGAAATGTTGCTACATTTCTTTACCAACTATGAACTTCTGGACTCCAGCGGTAGATCGATCGACGGCGTGCGCAACCTCTGGTGGAAGTATTTGGGTCGGCAAGTGAAGTGTCTGGTGGATCTCAAGCTCATGTCTTTGAGGGAGGGTATTGGTGGAGCAAAGGACTGTACTAAGGAAAAGTTTCAGATGCAAATAGCCCTTTTCTACAAGGGATTTCCTCATGAATTCCGCGCTTTAGCCATGGCCAACGAGGTGGACAGTTTTTCGTGGCCAAAAACAAACAGCCATCAAGTCAGGGCCCTCAACCATCCAAAGGCTGACGTTCGTTGTCTATGTAAGAATGTTACTTATGCCACCAATGTTTGGCTGACATTGGTATGACAGTCGATCTTTCAGGGTTGACTGGCCAAGACAGACTATATTTTCAAGCTGTGAAGAATGCACCGTTCAAGCTCGAACCGGCTGATTTGCAACCAGAGGCAGATCTAGATAGAATGGAAGTCAGTAGTGACGTGGAGAAAGACTTCGAGTCTCTACCTCCCCTGAAAAGAGCAGGTAAGTGAGTCGCGCTCTTGGGTCAACCTATTGACATATGAGTGATTATAAGCAGCTATACACGATGCTTCCGCACCTCCAGGGAAAAGACGCAGAAAGAAGACGTAGCACCCATTTCTGATTTTCTTTTGTTGCTTTGCATTTTGTTGCTGTTCGATCTGCAATAATAAAACGTAAATATATAATGGCAATCAATTTTGTAACATTGTCTGTTTATTGCTGCACCCCATACATGTACAGACCCAAGTTGTATCGACTGGAGACGCTCAGAAGAAGCTGGCTAGATCAAATTGTCAACCTCCTCTACTCTGGCGTTCAACATTCAAGCTCTGCTCGGTGTCATGAATTGTCGGTGGACAGGATCGGGTAAGACGACATGTACAGTGAGCACGTTATACTAAAGCCTCGTCTGACTACACCTCCATCAGAATCCCGCTATTCGATGCCTATTCAGACTTACCGCATATCCAAGGGGAACTTGTCGCATGCGTCAGCCTAGAACTTGGGTAGCAGCGATGTCAGTCGCTAACCGCGTGGCTCATGAACGGTAGGTTCTCCTTGTTCCTCTAGATCTCGCTCGATTATACTTGCTCAACCTCCACAATCCAGCTAGGGCGATACGTTGAATACTCGTTCCGCTTTGAGGACATGGCAGAACCTAGAACAACCTTCTTCAAATACATGACGGATGGTATGCTTCTACGCGAAGCCATGAACTAACCCAGCCTTGAGCGATATCCCACCACCATTCTTGACGAAGCCCACGAATGCACCGTTGCCACCAATATCCTCATGGATCTTTTGAAAGCTACATTGTCATTTGCCGCCCTCTATGCCACCAACAATCAAGATTCGGAGTCTGTGGGTCCCCTTGCCTACATCTCTCTTCACTTTTCTCCCCCCGCAACAGATATTCGACGCACCTCTCGCTGCGCGGTTGTCTGATGGTCCGGGTATCTGGACGTAAAGTCGTTGTGTCGATGACCATTGCAGAAACTTCGCTGACAATCGACGGGAACGTTTATGTCGTGGCTCCGGGCTTTTAGAAGCAGAAGGTTCACAATCCGCGAATACGCGTGGAGAGCTTGCTCATCAGCCCCGTATGAAAAGCAGAGGACAGGACGTGCAGGACGTACGAGGCCGGGAAAGGCTTCCGGTTGTGCATCGAGAGGGATTCTATGTTCGAGCTGGAGGAGCAGACTCAAACAGAGATTTTGAGGAGTAATCAGAGTAGTACGGTGCTGGAATTGGCCAAATTTAGTTGGAATCAAGGTCAGTTCCCATCTTTCAAATGATTCTGCCATTTGACGAATTTGATTTGGTTAGGATCTTGTCTGATTGATTATGTCGATGTCCTCCACCTATGAGGTGCTCATGAGGGCACTAGAACTATTGAATCTTCTCGCGGCTCTAGACGACGGCGGGAACCTCGCTACCATAGGTGCTCGATGGGTTCCCTCTAGACCCTCAGGTAGATACCCACCATTAAGGTGAAGGGATTACATTCAACTAACTATTTCCATAGCTATCAAGCTGCTGATCGTTAGCCCAGATTTCAAATGCAATAATGAGATATTGGCGATCACCGCGAAGAAGCCAGGTATGCCATGGTCCTTTTTGACTGCCGCATCCTTCTAACAAAGAATATCCATAGTGTGGCTCTGACCGAACAATTAAACACCACACCCAAGGTTTGGGCCCAAAGCGGACATTGAAATTTATGCTATATAAGCTGTTGGTATGCGTGCTGCGAGATGCGTATATCCTTTGAACGCCCCTATTGACACAACATGGATCGATATCTGGGGAAGCCCCTTCCGTTCTTGCATGGTTGGCGGAAGATTCCAGGGGACGGCAGCTCGATTGGCGTCATTGTATTCTCCCCCGATGCGACGTTGATCGCCACTGGTGATGATAAAGGGATGTTGAGTGTGAGTCGCGTCAACGCCATGGATATCCACCTCCATGTCCTCACGTCCACTGGCATACAGATATGGCAGGCGGCCCCTGCGTGGAGGGTGATTCGGAAATACTTCCTGCGGTCCAGAATTCGGGGATTATGCTGGAATCCAATACACCAGCTCACTCTCTTCGTCGGTTGCGCGAGTGGTTGCCTCTATACGGTTCGTTTAATGGATATCGGGGTATGATTGCACCACGCTCAGTTTGATTATGTTATTCATACTCTTGAAAAGGAATCCGCCAACGTTCGACAGCTTCCGGGCTATATTCATTCATTAGCAATCAATGAAAGTGCTAGTAAATTGGCTATTGGATATACGAACGTTGAGGGTGTTCACATTGCCTTTGTTGAGGACCCATGTGGGGGTCAGTTTCGATTCTTCAGATCAGTGCTCATAGTTATTAACTAGCAAGAATCAGATCTCCAAAGGCCCTTTCACCATGTGCCCTTCTTGCAAGATCACCTCTCAATCAGCATCCCACATAACATGTATTTTTTGAATGAAGACGTCCTCTTGATTTCTTACTTCGGTCCGCTTGGCATCCAGTATGCGTTCACATATACATGTGGCGAACACAGTGAATTAATGACCTTCTGAAGTGCGCATCGTTCATCCCACCCTTACGAAAGGCTGTGGACAATCAAACCACGCCAAGATCGTTGGATGTGAGGCAATATGTTTTCTCCCTCTCGTCGACTTCCTTATTTTGACTCGGTATGCAGTGCTGGGGCCGCGCTATCGCCCTCTGGCTCAATTTTGGCCGCCACGAACATGGATGACGGCATCGATTGGTATTCCATACAAGGCGGAATACGGAGCACAACATATACGAC